TGGCTTGTTTGATGATGTTGTCTCAGTTTCCCAATCCCACTTGCCCTGGAAGTTTCCAATTCTTACTCTCCTCCCTCAATAGGAGGTCCCTAGAGTCATCAAATTCATGGACAGAAAGCGGAATGGTGGCTGCCAGGGGCTGGGGGAGAGGGAGGGATGAGGAGTTACTGTTTCATGGGGACAGAGTGTTAGTTTGGGGTGATGACCAGAGTTCAGTGGCTGGATGGTGGTGATGGTGTTGCAATGTGAACACCACCAAACCGTACACATAAAGATGGTTAAAATGGCAAAGTTTACGTTATGTATATTTTATAATTAAAGAAACAAGATCCCTCTGGCGGCTAAAGGGACTGGGGTGCAGGAGCGGGAGGAGCCAGAGCCAAAGCAGGAAACTGTCTATGGTCCCTGCTCCTGCTCAGGTGACTCACAGGGACTGAGACCAGGTGATAGGGTGGTGAGCAGTAGACAGGCTGACTGTGTTTTGTAGGTGGAGTCAACAGGACCTGAAGACAGATCTGATGTGGGGGTGATGGAACATGACAGTGAGGGGTGACCCTTCCCTGTTTGGCCCAACGGCCAAATGGAGTAGTGAAGAAGGAAGTTTTTTGCTGAGGGAGACAGGCTGGGGGTGGGGTGGAGTGGGGTGGAGGGAATTTTTTGGTTCAGATGCCTATTAGGAAATCCAAGTGGATTCTGGGTATTTATCTGAAAAAAACCAACATATTAAATTGAAAAGACACATGCACTGCCATGTTCATTGCAGCATTATTGACAATAGCTAAGATATTGAAGCAACCTAAGTACCCATCAATAGATGACTGGATAAAAAAACTGTGGTACAACCCTGGCCGGGTAGCTCAGAGCATCATCCTGATAGGCCAAGGTTGTGGGTTTGATCCCTGGTCGGGGCACATACAAGAATTGACCAATGAATACATAAATAAGTGGAACAACAAATTGATGTCCCTCTCTCTCCCTTTCCCCTCCCCCCCTCTCCAATCAATCAATAAAGACAAATAAATGACTGGATTAAGAGGAAGTGGTGCATATATGCAATGGAATATTACTCGGCCATAAAGAGTGAAATTTTACCATTTATGACAACATAGATGGACACAGAGGTTTATGTTCAGTGAAATAAGCCAGTCAGAGAAAGACAAATACTGTATGATTTCACTTATATGTGCAATCTAAAGAACAACATAAGCTAACAAACAGAAACTTATAGATCCAGAGCAGAGACCGATGGTTGCCAGATGGGGGGGGG